TACATAAGTATTTCGGACTCAAAATGTAAGCAACAAAAGATTTGTATACGATCTAATAGATTTAAAACATTTATTTTAAATGAATGATTGTATTATGAAATTGCATTATAGTGTGAAGAAAGTGCTATAAAAATAACTTTGAATAACTCTTCACATTTACTTATTTTTAGTCAAACGGATGTTCACATTGTTGGCTAGTATCAATTACTAACTGATCATTCATTAAGTCATCAAAACGAAACCTGTTTAAAGCTATAAATAAATCAAAATGATCATGAATTCATGACTTTTCATTGTATATATGAGTGAATTCACTTGAATTTTGAAAATACAAAAGGATGGAAAACCGTTCTTGTTCGCTTCTGTCGCTTGTTCAATAGTTAAAAATCATATGATTGTCGAATATTCGAAAAAACAAGAATTATTGTTATTGCTCTGTTATCAATAAAACAATTTCAAAACGGTTATAGGAACATTAGTTTGTTGAACTTTCAAATATAGTCTAGTTTATAAAGAAAATGGATCTGAAATTTGTTGATTGTATTGTTTTTATTTGTCTAGATATTGATGAATGTATTGAAAATACAAATATTTGCCAATATATATGTGAAAACCAAATAGGATCTTATCGATGTTATTGTCCAATTGGATTTAAGATAAATAACTTAGGACAATGTCAAGGTTGGTATTTATATTCTTATTTAATTGAATATATTTTTTACATATTTTTAGATATTGATGAATGTCGTCAATTTCAAATTGATTGTGGTCAAGATCGAACATGTTTTAATACTCATGGTGCTTATGAATGTATAGATATTCCATGTCTTGTTGGTTATATTCGTCAAAATGAAAGCGATTGTTTATTAAAATGTTATCAGCGTTCATCCTCATGTCGTCCTCGTCAAGCTATTTATATTCGTCATAGATTTATTGCTGTTCCACGATTAACACTATCAAATCGAACATTATTTAGTTTACCTATAACTTATCGAAATAAAAGTTCAATAACAATAATCGATAAAAATCATATGAATATCTCTTTTCCTTTTATACTTGATGGTAGTGATCTAAAAACAAATCGAACATTAATTGAACCAAATGAATATGAGTTCGAAATACATTTATATAATACTGAATTAAATGGTAAACATGTAGCTCATCATCGTCGTCGCTTACATACAATATTTGTAATACGAATTAATATTTCACCGTTTCATTTTTGAATAAATTTTTTATTTCAACAATTATTATTAGACGAACGCAATAAATACATCAAAAATTAGATATTATTGTGTATGAGCTTCTTTTCACTCTTTTATAGTTAATGAACTTGCATACGCGCAAACAAATATAAGATGTTTTATTCTATTTTGCTTTTGTTTGGTTTTTCTCAATATGATTTTTCTTTTTGTTTTTTTTCTCAATATTTTTTTTCTTTTGGTTTTTTATTCACAAATGACGATTAAATTCTCCATCTAAAAAGTTGTCCAATGCTTCTTCAATTTTTTCTTTGGTTTCATCGGTTAATTCAACTGGAGATGATTGTTCAACTTTTCGTTGATAATTTTGTTCAATGCTAAGTAAAATAGGTGCTGCTATAGTCTCAACATCATCATTACCCAATTTGTCTGCCACATTGTTAAATATTATATCCACTGCATGACGTGGAATTACTGTAAATGATGTTGGATGTTTCATTAAAACTTGTAATATACCATGAACAAGATAATCAGTATCAGAATTGATTAGATATGAATAACGCTTGACTGTTTTTTCAGCTCTATGAAAAGCTTGAGCTAATGAAATATTTTCAGGTTTTTCACTTGACAATGTCTGTTTAACAGGATTAGTTAAGACAAGACCAACGATGCTTAATAAAGCAATAACGTATGATGAAAACATCAGCATTCTAAAAACAATATATGATTCACACTATGTTAATATCAAAATAAATATTAAATATAAAGAAAGAAAAATTAAATATACTCAGTCAGACAATAAAAGCACATTTTACGTCGAAAAACAAAAATTTTATTTTTGTATAAAGCAAGTTCGAAGGCGTCGCCCTCTTCAGATTCGCTTTCTTTTCCAAAAAAAAAAAACAAAGTTTCTTTTTCTTTTGAAAACGTAAAAAGTGTAAATTTTGACACGTACAAAGGCGTTTTATTTACCGATTTCGAGTTGCTAGGTGTGCGTGGGAGACACTCGTATCCATCAGAAGTACTTTGAAATAAAAAGTAGGAAGGCAAACACACCTCCGAACAGTTTTTTCTATATTTAGTAAGTCATGAACATAAAGGAAATGAATGTTTATATTCACACAAATGTTAATCAGTCAACTAGTAGTTTTGTATTTTAAGTATCATTCAATTGGAGTATGTCTAACGGGAAAAGTGCACATGAAGTTTTTTCTTCTTGAAATTGATATCGAGTGCTTCTTGTTTATATAGGGAATCAGGATTTATATTATCAAACACAATGAATGGATGTCATCTTGTTTCTTTTTTCTTTCTTTTGGTAACAATTGACAGATATCAAATTATTCAGAAATGATTATGTTCTGTTTAAAGAAACAATGTAAATGCTTATCAAATAAATTAAGAAAATAGAAACAAAATCTTCCTATGCAAGAACATTATTCAAAACTCATAAACTCTTGAACAAATAAAGAATTATTCATCGTACCTGTGCGCAATAACTGATTTGTTTCTAATAAATCGTTGAGTAAATGATATGGTGTAAGAGTAGGACTAAATGAATTTATATATATATATTCAACTTCAAGAAAGACTGAATCTTCAGAGTAAAAGAATGTTTGTCGAATTCAACCAATTAAACTATAAGTTCTTTCTCTTTTCCTTCTTCTTTCCATCTCTCTCTTTCGCTCTTTCTGTCTTTTTTTGTTAAAATTTTTATTTTTCTCTTTCATTTGTTTTCTTTCTATATAATACGATGACGTAAAATATAAGATAAGATCAGAAAAAAAAAACATTTATGCATAGAATTAAATATTGAATTCATGCATATATTAACTATTCTAGCTGATGGGCGCAGAATTTCCATAAAAATGCATGAGTATATATGAAAATTCTCTTTTGTTAAGAAAACAAATAAACCTCTGAAGTGTTGTCTGTAAATCATAGAAATTGAAAATAGATTTCACGTGAAGTCAATTACGTCGATCTATGTCATGCACATCAAATCCCATAGGTGATAATGCTTTTGATATGTGAGCTGAAAGTTAGTCAAAAACACCTACATACATTTGCGTTCATTTGTTGACAACTACTAGTTGTCATATTATTCTTATCACTTGTTAACTGGATTTTTTTTGATAAGTATGATTTATAAGTTTATTACTTTTTTTTGACATCAAGAAAAAAAGACACATTAATGGCAATAGAGTTCTCGTCATTTACATATCTATACAAAGTTAAGATATCCCCGATCGAATACAAAAACATTTAAAGCAAAATGAGCAAAAAAAAACGGATTTGTTTCTTTTGTCGTTTTTTAATAATTAAAATAATTCTTTTTTATAAGCAAATCCATATTGACGACATTTTGTTGTTAGTTCAGCTGATAATGATGGTGGTCCACAATAAAATACAGATATTTTGCCTTTCTTTTGACATAATAATTCAGTAAAAACCTTAAAAAGAAAAGAAAAGAAAAGGAAAATATAATATTAATATGTTTTATTTTTATCATCATAATTGTATGCAATTCTTCATGCATTATATTCAAGGTCGTCGTACCCTTAGCAAATATTTTTACAAATGTATAGATGGTCTATAAAATATTGATACTATAAAAGGAGAATGAAAAATAGATATTGACATCATCTAAAGAACTCTTAGTAAAAAGGAACAAAAGCGGAAATCGATTAAACATGAATGGAGTGACGATAGAGCAAGTTTGTGATATTTTTACATTGATAATTAAACGTCAATTTGTATACGTAAATAAATGGCGAACATTCTTCGAAGAAAAGTCATACGACAAAAGCAGAAACACATCGACTTGACACGTGTTCTATCAACTAATGCGACAACATTTCAACTTATAGATAGATAAATTATATGGTAGATTTATTTTTAACGCCATGAAAACTTTTTTTTTCTATATAGTAGATTCATATTCAGATCACAGGCCACAATATAAATATTTGTAATTTACATAAATTTTTTCATGGAAAAATTCTGTAGGAAAAAAAAAACTTTTGATTCTTATTAATTATTTTTATTCGAACGCATATAACGGTAAAATAAGCGAAAGTTCAATGAAATTGAGGATGTTACATTTGAAGGCAATATATTTTGTATTCTTTGAATTGTTATTGTTTTGAATAATATATTGAATTTTATTGACACACATATGTCATCAGTTCATGGAATATATATACATTCATTCATTAATATTTATAATATATAAAGAAGAAAGTCATCACGACTCTCAAAGTAGTAAAAACTATTGAAACCTATAGACAGATTTTACACAACTAATTAGTAAATGAAAATCTGCTATGCACAATTATCTAAATTTTTTTGCAACTATAAAAAGATATGGTTAATGTACCCAGTGATATATTTGCTAAAGACTATGTTTTTCGTCTTATTTTGTTTCTCTTCGTTTGAATAAATAACTGATTTCATAATCAATTAATGAATTCTATATATTTTAATAGTACTATTCCTTGATATGTTTGGTCTTGACTGTTTATGCTCACTTAAGATAAGAAATTTATTAGTTTGATAGAAAACAGAACTAAAATAAAAACCATTTTTTTTTCGTACTTGATCCCAATCAGGTCGACCATGTTTCGTTCGTTGTCGAATTCCATCAATAGCATCACAATTAGCTGAATTTTCTCTTCCAATTAAATCAAGTGATAAATATATATTCAATGCTTTTAAATCTGCTTGTGATTGTGCACTTGTTACATATAAATGAACTTCAAGTAAAGAACCTTTATCAGAATTTTGTCTTAAACGTTGTTGTTCAATTTCCATTTGTGCCAATAAACTAATAAACCATTCAAGTGAACGTTGTTCACGTGTTACCCAAATAAAATCGACCTTGAAAATTTATATTCAATTATGATAAGAGGAAAAAGAAAGAATATGAATTAATTTTTACTTTTTTCAAACAAAGTTCTTCACTTTCAGGATTATCCCAAATATATTCACAATTTGGACATTTATGTCGACGATTTCGATAACGACACATTATACTTTGTAAAATCGAGGCGAATGGTGTTATACCAATACCAGCAGCTATTAAAACAGCATGTTCAGCTTCAAATATATGTTGAGATGGTGCACCATATGGACCATCAATTAAAACCTATATAATAATTTTACTTTTTGTTTTTCTTTTTTCTTTAATAAAAAAAAAAAAAAAGGAATAAAATTATTTCATTTACTTGTAAATCTTCTCGATCATTGAATTGAAGTGAATTAAATTGAATTCGATTATGACTTTTATACATACGTAAATAACCCAATGCATCAGATAAACGTGTTTCATGCAATTCAATTTGTTGTTGTTCACGACAAATTGTTGATGTATTTGCTATTCTTATACAATAATCACCATTAGCTGGTGCAGTTAGTCGATGATTACTATTATTATTATTATTATTATTTTTAATAGCTGGTTTAAGTATTGTTATTGTTTTTATTTGTTGTTCAGTTGATTTGATATCATCTTTTTCATAAGCTAATTTTTCAATATCTTCAACTGTCATATTTTCAAGTTCATGTGGATTCATTAGAATTGATTTATCAACTGTATGTATATTTGAAGAATTTACTTCTGTAATTATAGAATGATTTTTATCAATTGAATTTAATTGTATATCATGTAAACCAAATGTTGATTGACATGATGAACATATTATTTTCTTTTGATTTTTTCCTGTTGGAAATGATATTGAAATAGATTTTGGTTGAATAGAATGAGTTTCTATTGTTGAACAATTAGATGAATGATTAGAATTATCATTATTTTTATTTTTATCATTATTATTATTAAGATCAATAGAAGAATTAATTTCTTGTTGATGTATACCACGTAATTCATCAATATAACTTTTTGACATACGTGAACGCATTGATGAACGAAGACGTAAATCATTAAAATCATTTAACATACCACCATGTTTTTCAATTAATTTCCTTCGAAATAATTCATACACACGTCGTGTCCAATGACCATTTACATGAACATGAAGCCAAAGACTTTCTAAATCATAACGATAATTTTTAGTGTTAATTAATTAAATCGTTGATAGAATAATTAAAAATTCTAAGAATAACAAAGACAAATGGTCTTAATATGTTCTCCAAAGATTAAAGATAATTTCAAGAAGTAAATATATTAAAAATTTAATGAACTCTTAATAGTATCTTCTAAGTATAATAGTCTTTTAAAAAATAAAAGAGACTTCAAAGTACTTAATAATGATTTATTCATTAGAAAAAAAACTACTTTAATGTATTGTTTTTTTTTTGTTTTCAGTATAAATAATTGAATATATTCCTTTCCTTTTAACGAAAACAAAAAAAAACGTAGTTCTATTCAATTTTTTTAAGAACAATATTTTAAAACACTTCAAAGTTGATATTAGATATGTAACTCATCGTATTCAGCTTAACATAAACGATAAATCTTTCTAAAAACTATGTCACATTTTAAAATTTGATCAAAATTCAAATTTACGAAGAAATAGCAACGATTTCAGTCTTGAAGCTTACAACTTTCATAAAGTCTTTAAAACAGAGCTCGATACAGGACAGTAAGAATCTTTATTTTGACTTTCAATCATCAAAATATTGTTACTTTATTAGATATGTTGAAGTTATTTTATTTTTTATCATTTTCAAATATAACAACTAAAGTTTTCAATAATGCTTTATATTAGAAATACAAAATATAAAAACATCTTGATTTGTTATGTTAATGACACATTCATGACAGGAAACAATATATAACAAAAATATATATAAAATTCTGGGATTTTACTATTACGATCTTAACATACAGTGAATACGTTTCATTAAAAAAACAACAATGAAAAAAATACTTGATAACAAAAATGATATGTTTAGACGAGCGACAGAACAGGATAGGACAATCGGACCATAATGTTCGATGACAAGCTGTGCTTCGAAAATCCTACGAACACTTTTAAAATCTCACAAAGACTGTCAAAGTCTTATGAAATCTTAAGAAGCTTTTTTGAATTCTTTAGAAATTTCTTACAGTTCCGTAAAACTTATTAAAGTCTTTTGAAGATTTGAAGTCGTAAAGTGTGCTGTTTCTCCCACGGTTCAAACTTGACAATTGAAGATCATAGTTCATCATAATCAAATATTACTTCAATGTTATATTTTTATTTTCTACGTAAAAACTATTTCAACTCAAATAAGTTACATTTTTAATCAGCTCCTACAATTCCTTTCATATCTGAACAAAAGAACGTCTATCATTAATTAATAAATCAATGAACTATTAATGCGAACTTTTTTCTTCTATAAAAATAAACTTTTAACCTTTTATTTTGAAATGTTCAAAGTATCAATTAGCAGATATTATATACAGTTTTTATACTTCTAAAATATTCTCTATTTAAACAAGATCTGAGATAATTAATAAGATGAAGTTTTCCTTTCAATTTATATTTTTATACCTTTGTGTTCTGGAGCACTACTTATACTGAACGGATGCCATTCAAAATTAGCTATTGACGGAATATTTATATAAATATAATCTCCTGATTTATATGTAAATTTTCGTGGTTTATTGATGACTAAATGAATGACCTAACAATATGAGAAAAAATAAAACATGAAAAAATAAATAAACTTTTCATTTATTTATACTTGTGATGGTAATAGAATAGCTTCCATAATAAAAGATTCACCATGTTTATTTGAACGTGATTTACGATAACGTAAAATTTTTTCAATAATATATAAAATACCAGGAATTAATAACCATTTCCAAAATCGCGGTCCATGTAAAAGCATAATAATCAACCATGGAAGTGTTAACATATGACACCAATAAAATAACTTGATGAGAAATATCAAAAAAAAAAAAAGGGTATTTACTTTTGATTGAATAAATATATAAAGTTTATTTTTACTTGAAAATGACCACGTTTTCGTACAAATGGTAAACACATAGTATAAATAAGTGCACCTAATAAGAATTCAAGCACTCCTGTTATATAACCAAGTCCTAATTTAGCTGTGAATATTGCATTAACATAACGATGATTTGTAATAAGATATGGTTCTACAGATTAAAATAATATGTATGATCCATAATTGAAAAGAAATATTTATGAAAAATAAAATAAATTCTTACTACAACGAAGTTTACATAAATCTTCAGTATAAAAATTATTCCAATTACCACTACATCCAAGATATGCAAATGGAATGCATTGATTTATTGTAGAATCAAATCGATAACGTTTTATTAATGTCATATGATTATTTAATGATTGAGTCACATTAGTATAACTATGACAAAACAAGCCTATATCTTGTGGTAGTGAACATATGTAAAATACATGAGCTAATAAAAAAAAAACAATGAAATAATGTAATTACATAAGTTGTTTCATAAATAAAACAAAAAACATACCTAAATAAGCTAAATGTGCTGCTGTGTGTAAAATTGTTTCAATTAATATAATAATTCCTATAGTTTTATGTATATCAATATGATGATCAAGTGGAAGAAGCACACTACCACCTTTTGTTCGTATCCATGTTATATGTTTACGAAGCATTAATACAAGCATTAAAGCACAATTAAAATTAAGCATACCACCTGACGAAATAAAACTAAGATTCAAAAACAAATTAATAATTAAGAAAACTTTTTTTACCATTTAATCGAGCAATTATAATTAAAAAATGAGCATGTTGTTGACCAATATAGAAATGTAGTACATTAATACAAATGCAAGTACATAGAAATGAATATAATGACCAAAAGAAAATCAAATCGATATTATTTCGTATCCATGCACGAACTGTTGATGAATGTCTATGATATTTACTTATTGATACAGATTTTGGTCGAATCCAACTACTTGTACTATAGAAGATAACAAAAAAACAAAATTCTGAATTTATTCTTCAAAAATTTTCTACTGTATTTAATATTTATCTATGAATTGCACATTTAATTAACACTTCGGTTTTTGTTCAACAGAATGTATTGTCTATTGCTTTAGTCTGACCATATTGACTACTCTTTTTGTCTAAACTCCACTCAAAGTTTGTAACAACACTATGACGTACAGAAAAGGATTAAGAAACAGCCTTTAAAACAACTATTGTTAATCTAAATAATACGTTAGATATAGATCCGAGTTTTTAGCTTGGCCTATGACCTGATAGGTCATCAAACTAGATCAAAATTGTTGGCCTGTGTTTGATATAATATTACTTTCTCTAGTATAACGTGAAATCTAAAATGGCGCCAAAAGCTCATGATCTTTTGAAAATATGGATGTGGGTCGTGTATTCACACATAATCAGCCATACTCTTTTACTTATTCGTTCTATGACTGATCATATGTTGTTTTTATATAATAATTACATGGTTTCAATGATGTGAAACAGTGCTAATATATTTAAAAATATCTCGATACATCTACTGCCTCTTGTATCAGAACTATTATTTTATGATTTATCTTCTTGTTGTGATTCATTATTTTGTGTGAGAACTTGTCATAACACTATCCTGATGACAATAAATTAAGCGTTTAATCGAAATTAGAATGATGTATCATATTAACATTATAGAACTTAGCGGATTTGAAAAAAAAACAAACGTGATTCAGCCTGATTCGCCCAGAAGACTACATCGAAAAAGTGACCTGTAGACACCTCTACTACATACTACCTTGAAAGGACTTTCTGTCACAAATGCATTACGCGAACTTTTGAAAATCATTCGATGTTTGCTTCAAGATTCCATAGGAACATGTTCAACTCATAAATACCTGAAATTCTAATAATAACGAACAAAAATAATTTGTAAATAAGAAAATATCTTTTCTTTTTGTATAGTCTATACTGAGTTATATAATTCAAATTGAAAATAGAAGTATTCTATTAAACTTGAAATGAGTCATATATTGTTTCGAATACTTGTGCAATAGATTTGTTTGGTATGTAAATTACAGCCCATCGTGGCTGAGTCTGAAAATTTTGGCATTTATGAGAGAAATATGTAGGATGTGTTGGTTGTCGAATACAAAAAACCGGAAAAAAAGTATTTCATACATATCTTTGGGACGATTATTCAGTGTCGATTTGAAAATTTCACCGGAAGTATTAAACTAAGATTCGATCGGGTTCGGATTTCAGTTTCAAAGACGTTCAATCGACTGGGTCTGAATCCGAAAACTTTGGATTCTACGAGCTTTAATGTATATAGTTTTGCCTCATTGACAAGAGTCTACACTAATATGATGATGAAGAGTGCTTAAATAAATATTTACTAAAATGAAACATTCTATTAATAAAATCAACAAGAAAAAAAGGATATTTAACTTATTTTTGAAAGTTTTACCTGAGTGAAAGTACTTTAAATAAATGTTCATTTTGTCGAAGAGCATTTGACAATTCATCAAAACTAATATCACCTGAATGATCAACATCAGTTTCTTGAAATAAAGTAGCAGTTAATTCTGCTAATGTTTCTTCCATGTCAAGTGAAGGAGACTGTTCAAGAAAACAACGAAATAATAATTTCATTTCATCAAAATCAATTGTTCCATCACCTTAAAATGATTATTAATAAAAATTTATTTCGTTTAATTTTTTTTAATTTCAATATAACAAACCATCACGATCAAAAATTTTAAAAAGAAATTCAACTTTTTCATTATCATTTGCTTCAGTAAGAAATTCTAAATTTCTTATAAATTTATCTAATGTTAATTGACCCGTTTTATCTGTATCAAGATAATTAAATAAACAATCAGCTAATTCAGGCTTTAAATATTAAACATTCAAAAAAAAAGCAAAAAAAATTCTTGTTTCAATAATAATAATAATAATAATACATACAACTTTGAATTGAAAACTATTTTTAAATGTTTCAAGATCCATACTATCTTCTAGTTGAGTTCCATTATGCGTTGTACTACGACGTTTACTGACTGCCATATGAAATTGATAAGCAAGCCATGAAAGCCATTTTGTATCTGATTTAAGACTTAACAAAAAGAAAATCAAATGATCAATATTGAAAGATTAAAATGAAATTTTTTTTAACAAACTTGGCAACAGAATGAAGTATATCAGTAAATTCCATTACACTCATTAAATTTGTTTCACCAATAAATAACAAAGTAAATTCTCGTCGAAACTAACAAAAATAGAAATAAACTATTATGTCTTGTCTTTTTCTTTCATGATTGATGAATTACATACTGACGTATCTTCAAATAATATACAAAATTCATCTATAGAAAGTGAATCATACCCATGTGAAATATGCCTAAAAGCACGTATGAACGGTTCGAGTGTTCGAACATCTTTCGTGCGATTGGATATCCTGTCAATATATAGATATATGAGATCAAATGTTTGTTGAGACAAAATAAATGAAAATATCATGTACACATACTCAGCTACTTTGTATACAGATCCAATCCATTCAGATTCAGAGAGTAAACCGCTTGTATCACGATCGAACAAGCAAAAGAGCGTCTCCAACAATAGCTAAGAACAAAAAAAAAAAAGAGAAAAAAAATAAAACTAATGATCATGTTTCGTAAATATAAGTAAAGAGCAAGAGAAAAGATATTTGAGAGTGTTCATTCATACATGTTGACGTAGGTGATGCATAAGTTCTTGGAAGTTTATATGTGTACGACCGATAAGTTGACGTTGCCATCGTTGTATAAGAGCTTCCTTATTCAATGAAACAATACTTATTGATGTCATCGGATATATGTTGTGAGTTCATGTTAAATTCATACGGTGATTTTATACTTCTATCTTTCTCTTTCTCTCTCTCTTTCTGTATTGTTCTACAATACTTTTTGTGCTATTACAATATCAAACATAGGTGATAGTCAAGAATCATCATAACACGTGCCATGGTTATTTATTTATTTATTTCTAAGGCACCTTACACTTTTGTATGATCAAAAGAAAAAGACCAAAGCGGCATAGATATTGATAACAGTCTTTGATTATTTCGTTATCATTGTCACCTTTACTTGAGAAATTATAGTCTTTTGGTTACAAAACTTTCAATTAGCATATGATTATCATTTGTTTCTATGTTCTTATTCTAGTAATTCGGAAATGAACGATATATTTTATTTGTCTTTCTATATTGTGCAAAATATACATATATATCATAGATTAAATTTATCTAAAAGAAAAGAAATGATAAAACTTATATATGATCAGAAAGATGTTGAAAAATATAAAAACTGCTGTAAAATGAATAATTAGAAAAGATATACTTCAATGTCTTAGAAGTTAACTTCAAATAAGAGACAATAAGTAATGTTTAAGTTCGCATAATTTCTTCTACTTTTATTTAGTTTGTATGAACACAATTTTATTTATTTCCTTTCTGATGATTATATAATATATATGGGATCATTTTACTACATTCAACAAAAATATTTAGATGCCCTTTTAGTGTTTTTTTCTTTTCTGATGAGTAGTATATAATCATTACTACGTATAATATTTTATAATAAAAAGCAGAAATCATCTAATCTTTGAATAATTCCATAGTAAATTGATTACATTATTGAAGTTTGTCGCTATTTTGAAATCAACAATTAGCAAAAAAAAGATAATCGAAGTCAGTTTCGAAAAGTGTCGATATATGAGGCCAAAGAAACATCATCTAGTGACAAGCTATTTTAGATGCAATACTAATTTCTGTACATTTTTTTAAGTAGAATAGCTTTTATCTCGATTGTTATTGATCGAAATATACTTGACAAAATCCATATTGAAGTAAAAATATTCAGTACTTTAAATTATTTTAAGAAATGAACCTGTAACAAAAAAATTCGCTGTCATTTGAGTTACCTAGCCATCAAAGAATGAAGGTTTCTTGCTTTCAATATAATTTATTCTTTACTTCCAAATGCTCTTTATCATAGACATTGGTAGAAACACTATTCAAGAAAAATTGAATCATGTATTACACAACTAACTCTGTATTAATTATAGAGAAGTTTATAAAATATCCATTGCTAAAAAAATATTATTTTATTTTATTACCTTGTCCCTGAAACCAATGACTTACAAAATTGGTAGATATAGAAAAATAATATTTTTCTTAGAATTATGTTTTTTTACTTGCAGACTATATGCATCCCAGAGATGTATTGTGTAATATATATATACATCTATATATATCAACAGAATTGTTTATTAGTGAATCAAGTGCCTTTTACAAGTTTCCCCCTATAGCTTGACAGATAAGAGATGTGAAATCAGTAAATATACCCTGCAGTGACCATCAGGAGGTAAAATGAGAAATAACGTATATCATGTATATTCGTTATTGTAAATCTTATGTTATTATAAGTTGAACAAAATATTGATCATCGACAAAATGTCTTCATTCATAATATATTACTATCTAAACATCAATGGAATGTTTCTAAAAATCTTTATATCCCTAGTACATGTTCTCTTAAAAATACTTTTCATAACATTAGTCTTTCCTCTATTGTATTAGTCCTATCAAAAAAAAAAGATACTCCTCTTGTGTACTCAAAACCCACATCGTAGTAGAGAAAAAAATTTCGATTGTATTATTTTGTATTAGTCGTTCTTCTAAAACCGTCAGAAAAGATAAAACGTTAAGTCCATTTGATTTATCACTATTCTACTGATTCACCCAATATTGTAACATGATTGTTTTTAACTGATTTTCTCCTCCAGATAGATTCTTCTATTTATATTCGGTAATCATAGAATTTGAATATGTACATAGATTTCTTTACTTTTTTCGATTAACTATGATGCTATCATTATCTTTAAAAAAAATCATTTCGTATGAAAATTACAAATCTTATTCATTGAACAATTTATCTCTTTGGTCCTGTATATTATATTTTCAGTCAAATTTTCTTTTCAGAAAAACAAAACGAAACATAAATCATCTCGCAAATTGAACTTTTCCATCATTGTCTCAAGTTCGCTCTCTCTCTCTCTCGCTTCAAGGAAAAACGACAAAGATCAAAATTCCATATGTCATGGACTTTAAAAAAAACCACAAGACGACAAAAACAAAAAGAACAAAAAAAAAAACAAATTGACAATTACAAAGTGTCGATCATGCTGAAAGAAAAAAAATCAGAACGTTGAATGATCAATGTGTTGCAAGAGCACAAACAAAAAGAAAAGAAAACGAACGAAACTTGATGAATAAAGGCAACTATATGCATTGCGCAAGATACATACACAAAAAAAAAGAGAGAATGCAATGAATGAAAAACAAAAAAGATACGTTCAATTGTTATTCTTCTTTTTTTTTTTTTTTAAGATTTACATGCAACATAAAGAACCGGTAATCGGTGACTTTTGTTGTCAAAACAGATAGAAAAATGTGTTGGTTTTTTGTTTGAGCTGCTGAACGTAGAAAACAAAACAAAAAAGACATAGAATTTACGAAAAAGCAATAAATGCGCACAAAAGACGACATCAAAACTCAAAAAAAAAAAAAGAGAAATATGAACACCGGTCATGAAGAAAAATCGAGAACGAGAAAGAGAGAGAAACATTCGAATTTTTATGTAAGATATATTTAAATTTATATTCATATGTATATAATATATATGTAGGTCAATGTTCGGTTTGTTTTTGTGATTTTAAGCAGCTCCACTTGTGACTGCAGATGATTCTTGTTGTTGATGATGATGATGACCCATTTGATCCATCATACTATTAGGACTTGATGACACAGGATAACCACCTGGATACATCATCATCATTGGATTTCGAAATTGTGACATCTGAGCATAAGATCCAAATATATCTTAAAACAAAAAATATTTTTATTAAATCTTGTCTTTTTTTTTTTTTTTTAATTAAAATTTTCTTATGTTTTACCATGAGGTGTTGTTGGATAACCTCCACCAAACTGATAATGCATAGCAGCCGCTGCAGCTGCATCAGGAGAATATGGACCAAAGCAATCAGAAAATTCAGTTGGGATAGACGCTAGAAAAAAAATAAATAAGATATGAAAAAAACAAAATATTATTAATTAAAATAAGTAAGTTTGTTTTTTTTTTCTTTTAATTTCAATCATTCTCTTTCTCTCTTTTTATCGCCTGTGCTATTTCACGCATTCGTGCAAATAATTGACTTTGACAGCAAGAGGAAAAAGGAGAAGCCAAATAGGAGGAGCAATAGCATACGACAATTGTTCAAGTGTCTTTTTGAATTAGATTAACTATTCTGTCTCTCTCTCTCTCTTTCACACACACACATATTCTTGATGATCATATAGAAAATCAATCTAGTTTTAACCATTGAAATGTCACTCCAGATTTTTATCGATTGAAATCTGGGCGGGAATGGTAGCAATTGTCAAGCAAAGAGAATAGAATGTATTCATCTGCCATACAAACGGCAAAATGAATTACATTTCTAATATAAGAAGAAAAAAAAGCAGTAAAAGAAATGAGCAGTATGCATATACACACGCGCACAATGATGCAGAAGTTGAAATAAAAGCTACCTTTTTGATTATGAGCTGGAAAAAAGAAAAGAAAAGAAAAATATTTTAAATTCTGTTTTTGTTTCGATTTTTTTTCTCTGTGTTTCTCATATGATGTAATAAATAAATAAAGAAGGAAGCATTAGATATAAAATCATATTAGAACTTCAATCGATGAGCATTAGACACTCTTGCCTTTCGTTATATATGAAAGGGATGATCGTTGAGGAATAACTGCTGATGCTGACGCTGTTTTTACTGGTATTTTAGCAGAATTTGTTCGACGAGATAAATTTTTTGAATTCTGTGGTAATTCTCGAGTTTGTTTTAAATGATTACGTCGATTTGTAACAGTATTCATAGATACATATATGAAATTTTGTCCATCAACATCTTTACCATCATTTAGTTTTAACTTACCAGCACGATTTGATTGGTCAATCATTGGTTGTACAATACGACGTCTGGCATTGATAAACCTATATATACATGAAAAATCAAGACAGCATGAGATTCTTTTTTGCTTGAAGGATAAAAGTAGCTTATTAAAAATAACATATATGTATACGCATTTCTTTTAAGTCAATTGAACATGTTTATTTTACTACAATAAACTACAATGACCACCAACAGATACTGTAGAGGTTAATTATCATCTGTGCGGTATATATATATTTCCTCTGATGTTTTTCCGATACATTTACGAAGTTTTCTTTTCTTTTTTTTTCCCCTTATGATAAAAATCGATAAACCAAATCTTTAGTTATTTCTAACAAAAATAATCAATTTTTTTTTCTCGTCTTTTTGTTTTAGTTAATTATTTAAATTCTTTGATTTTTCTTTTTTATCAGACTATTTCGTAGACAATATTTAATATCTAACCTATAGATAATAAATTAGATCAGTCAAGTTGATATGACCTTTTTTTAATGATAAGACTTTTTTTTTTCAATAGACACAAGTTCTTTTGTATATATGACCTCGAAAAATCTGTCAACAAGAGAAGATAAACAGATTTGTTTACAATATAGATATATCTATATGAGCAGTAGGGGAGACCCAAAAGACGAAGTAATAGAAAGAAAAAAAAAATGATAAATGATGTCCATCTTGTATATAAGAGATACGGTAACGATTCTAACCCTTGGAGATACGTATATACAAACAAGACTAACTAAAGTAATAGTTTAGATTCTCTTCGTCATTCTACTAATGTGATTTTAATGATGGCGACGACCGA